ATATTGTGCTTTAGTTGGGCACATTCTCATATTCTTAACAAAGATGCAGATATCAGTGGGAACATAATGAACCTGGCAATCTTTGCTCTGCTGGTTAATCAACTCTGATCATGTCCAGTGCAGCTGCACAGCTCAGTGGAGTCTTATGTAAGTGCACACCTCTCTGTGACTGACTCACTGCCCTTTAGCACAGATTCCAACAAGACCGCAATGAGCAAATTCAGTTGGAACGAGCAATAAAAGACGTGCAGTAAAGATAAAGAGGCTTTAGTGAGCCGGTGTGAGGAGACAGGAGCCGGAGATTATCGTTACAAGTGAAGGTTAAAGGCTTCAGCAAAGACCTTTTCTCCATTTCACTGCACGAGCAATGAAGTCAACGCTTCATAAGAAATGAGTTAGAATGAATGAGTGTATTTGTTCAACATATTGAACTCAGACTGGAAAATGTTGTGACAAGGTGTCAACCCTCATAAAGAATCTGTTTATTATCATTTATCTAAATAGTTTAATCTAAATTGAGCGTTATACAACATGACTCACAGAAAGTGAACTAATAAAGTGTAGAATAGTGTAAATCGTCCCTGTTGCATTTGTCTATGAATCTTTATTCTATGTATTGAATCTGTATTAAATCAAAAACAGTGACAACAGTGTGGTGCTGCTGAAGGCAAAGTGTGCTCACACTTATTTAACTCAGGTTTGAGTGAAGTTAAAAATACGTTTGAAAGCATCTTCATCATTTTACCTTTACTGCCGAAAAACTTTGTACAAAACTGTTTATGAAATGATTGATGTTAAAGTTGCAGCTGATCATTTTAACTAACGCACTAATGTCATACTTTACTTTATCAGTAAAAATCAAAGTAACTCAAAGTAACTGCAGTGGAGTGAAAAGTTATTTGAATACCATGTAATAAATATTATCATTGGATATAAACGTAACAAAGTACAAAATACTTGAGTAACTAGTAATTAGTTACTTTAACTCATTTTCACTGTTGATGATTCCACCTGACTGTTTGACGTCACACACAAGCCCCGCCCCCTCCACCTCTGTCATCAAGCCGGAATGTGCTGCGATGACGTCACACACCACAGTGACAGGAAATCAAAGCTTTCTCCTTCACAATAAAAGTTGGCACCACAAATTCAGATTTTTTTTTTTTTTTCACCAAGTGATGTGTTAATTTTTTTGTTTTCTATCCTACGTAATGACGGTGGAAAAGTTAACAGTCATAGTTTACATGACTTAAAAAATACCCAGCAGTGTTTTACAGTG